TTTCAGTGATATTTAAATCCATTTCTGCATGGACGCTCTGGCGAATTGGCAAGTCGTTCTTCCTCCATGGATGCCCTGTTTTTGATTTGATTTATAAGGCATATTCGTGTGAGTGTGTAAGCGTGTGGGTGTGCTGTTGTGCCATTTGATGTGATTTGTGAAGATCTGTACATGTGGCCATCCTTTAGTACTTAATCCACAATCTGCTGTGTGCCAGAAAAAAAATGTCATTTTTCTGTTCAGGAGAATAGATATTTTTGCTCATTTTGCACTCACTTGTCAGTAGTCTTGTAGTTTCACCCCCTTTGCAGCAAGGCCTAACTTGGAACCATCTAATGCGTGGTGTTGCTCATATGATTCCACCTAAGGCTTACAGTAAGCTTTGTGCATATTGTTTTGTACGTCATTTACAAGTAAGCTGAAACAGTTGGTCTCTTGTTCACCCACCAGGCCACGTTACATGCTGAACGATATCGGTGTTAATGATCTGCCTCTCTTTTAAATCTTCAAAACTTAATTAGCAACTCTTTTCTGGCAATGTTAGAAATACAGTAACAAGTTTGAGTCACAAGAAATACAACATACCAGTTTTTTACAAGACAATGTTAATGCACCACTTTGAGGCCTAATTTCATGTTAACCCCAGTGCTAATAAACATTTTAAGCAGCCTTTGTGATGAAAATGTTCTGTTCTTTTGCTTGTTTCTTGTGACTGATTTGAGGGAAATTATGTTTCTGTTCTCAAATGAGACATTTTAAGAGTGATGACAACAGCGATGATGATGACGATAATGATGATGGTGATTGTCACAGTTATGATCCCCATGCCACCTGAAGGGGTACTGCAAGTGTCAACAGATGTGTTGTAATGGCATTTATTAATTATAGTCATTCACTTAACTAAAATGGCTGTCTACTCCTCTCTGCAGATTTACATTTTTTATCACCCTCGCCTGTTGAATTTAATCTGAATAAAAATCAGTTGTCATCTGTAGCACACTGTCACACTTTTATACCTTCCTTTATTTTTTAAAAGCCCCCCTCGGATGGCTCACTGACATGTTTTTAATTAATTATTGTGTCAGATGCACCTTTCCTCTGCTTGGTTTATCTTTGCTGCTCAGTTTATACTTATGGTATCAGTGTTGTGATGGGTTGTTAATCTCAATAATTTATGTATAATATTTTCACAGTTTGCTATCAGGCTGCTCATGTTAAATACCATCCATCCATCTATTATCTATACCGTTTTTGTGTAGAGGGTTGGGGGGTGAGATGCACAATTGACCCTGGCCGCCAGTCTATTACAACGCTGACATAAAGGGACTGACAGTCATTAACATTCACACCAATGTGCAATTAAGAGTCGCTATTTAATGTAGCCTGCATGTCCTTAGACAGGGAAAACGTGCAAACTCCACATAGAAATGCTCCGGTCAGCCTACAGGTTCAAACCTGGAACCTTCTTGCTGTTAGACAGAGGTGGGAGCAAGTCACATGTGTAAGTCTCAAGTCTTGGCCTTCAAGTCTTCAGCAAGTCCCAGGTTACTGTGGTGAGACTCAAGCGAGTCAAGTCCCTACTATAAGTCATGAAACTCGCAAGTCAAGTTGCACAAAATTCTGATGATATACCCCAGTTTCCATATTAAAATCCATTAAAAGGCAGTAGTCGTAAACAGTTGAATTTTATTTCACAAGCCTCCTCTGATTATTAATTGTGCATTTGCAGGGTATAAATTACCCCTAGCTATTAACTTAAAAGGCCATGCCTTTCATGGCCATCAGAAACTCTTCTCAGTAAATTGCTTAATCGACTTGAAGCCAAGTCTTACAGCTTAAACTTAAGTTAGCTTTCTAGCTAACATTTGACCAGCCAGTAAGTTAGCTAATGTGCACATCCAAGTGCTTATCATCCTTTGTGAGTTTTGTAGTGAAGGATGGAGCTGGATGTTGTGGTGATCATGCTGCTGATTTTTACAACTTTGCATACCGCTGTTCTCTTCCTACTACTGTCATTGACACATAATCCTTGAGTCCAAATTTTATTATGTTTGGACTAGGCCCCCTAGCTCTAAGGCTGCATCTTGCAACCTGCATTACCCTCTGATGGTCTGTCATGTTCTGGGAGGCTGCCAGGTTTGTGCATATTGCAGTAGAAATCACCCATTTGTGTTTCAAAAACAAAATTCTCCATATCTAGAAAAATGCAAGTATTTAATAAAAAAAGGGTGAAGTAATTTCAAGTCATCTGTCTCAAATCAAAGTCAAGTCGTTGCCAGTGTTAGTCAAGCAAGTCTCCAGTCCTCAAATTTATGACTGCTGCACCATCCTACCATTTAGGGGTCGCCACAGCGAATCGTCACACTGATGACTCGCAGCACGACTCGCACGTGTTTTAAGCCGGATGCCCTTCCTGACACAACCCTGATTCGAACCTAGGCTGCAGCGGCGAGAGCGCTGCGCCTTAACCACTAGCCTACCAGGGACAGCAACTTGGTGGAGTGCTGCACCACCATACCACCCATGTTATATATCATTAATTTCTATGTGACTGAAGCAAAAATTTATGCTGGTGTTACTGTACAGTCATGTTGATGTACAAGACTTCCATCTTCAACTGGAAATTTTTAAGGAGAGAAGTGACATTTCAGCCAGTTGATATAGTACTTGAAGAAGTAAAGGCACATCTCGTTCAAGGGCATGCTGTCAAATAACTTCAAGGGCGCACTGACAAATAAGGAGAGAATGCAGGAATGGGATGTCATCAGCAGAAAATGACAGATGTAATTCAGCCAGATGTACTGTACAATACAACCATTTTAAAGAAGATGTCTGAAAAGAAATGTTTTTTCTTTTCTTGTCTTTTTACCTATAGCTCTCTGGGGAGAGAAGATTCCTCTATCATCTCAGGTTTTTGTGAAGAAATTGTGTTCTTGGTCTGGGTCAGGAACCACTGATGTTCTTTTAATGGAGTGCAGAAACATTATTTAGCATAGTACAACCCCAAATCAGAACATGTAACATTAAAATTAAAACTGAAAATGATGATTTGTAAATCATCTGTGTCCTGTATTACATTGAAAACAATACAGCAGCATATTATCTGATGTGATACCTCAATTGATTCATAAACACTCATTTTCATTCTGATGCCTCCAACACATTCCAAAAAAGTTG